CACACACACACACACACACACACACACACGCACTCACCACCATGGTTAGGATGAATCCGGCGCTGAAAAGTGCGACGGGGAGGCCGATGGACACCTTGATGGCCATGGACATGGGGCAGATGCCGCAGTCCGCAGGACAGTTGAGACAGTTCTCCTCCCCCTCACAGACATCGTCCCCACACACTGGAACATTTCAGACACATAGAAATCAATGAACAAGCTGAATCATTTGTATTATTGACAAGTTAATTACTCAACTGCGAGGCCAAGGGTTCCTTATATTCCTGTCGCCTTTCATTTCTTCATTTCTTTTCGTTTTAAAGAATGAAATGAATGAATAAAAGCTTTCCCTTTTGTGTATATATGATTTTATCTAGTCACGGCTGCAATGCAGAAGTATGAGCAAATGCGGAGCACAATGCGGACTGACCTTGAGCACTTATAACAAGCACTTTGGATTCCAATGCCGCGTGCATTTGTCCGATTTTGATATGAGCAATAACTGAAGTGACACCCACATGGATCAACACCACCTGCATAGAAATTGTGTCAATGTCGCATTTTTTCTTTGATATAGTGGACTCCCACATACCCATGGATTTGCATATTCACAGATTTTTATTTTATTTTAAAAAAATATATGTATTGTTATGTATATCTGCATATGTTATGTGTACAACTTAGCAATAACCAAAAGTGTTTTTAACTGAACATTACACTTTATTATCCACTACCAGAGTATGTCCATGAATTGCATGAAAGTACTACCGGTAATTACAATCTGCTGCCATCTGCTGTCAGGAGTGAAACATGTGAAAGTGTATCTATCTTTATACCTTTTATGGGTACAAATATTGTTAAAAACTAAATTTGAAAGAATTGCTTCTTATTAGATTTCTCTTGATCCATATTCAGAAAAAGTGTCTGTTTAAGGGTCCATCCGTTTTCGACAGCACTTGTCCAAACTCTGGTCACGGGTGAACTGCAGCTTATCGCAGTTGACGCTGGGCAAGAGGTGGGAACCTGGACCTGGACTGGTTGACAGACAATTGCTGGTGTCATATTGACAAACAACAATTCACGGTCATATTTAAACCTAAAGAAAATTGAGCCTTCATTGAACCTAACCTGCATACATTTGGAATGTACAAAACTGCACACGGCATGGCGAGAGCCGAGACTCCACCACGAGATCATCGTACTGCCTTCTGATAGGGTCTTCAAATATGATTCAAAAATAATTCAAGCACGATCCCCAAAACAGCCACGTATGCTCACCTTTGAGGTCCAGTATTTCTGGCTCATCTTGCCTGCTTTGGACACTGTATGAGTGACTATTTTGCCATCATCGGGAATCCACGGGCCGCAGATACCGCCTTGTTTCTGTAAAGCAACACCTCTCTCTTCTATCAGTTTTACTGAACAGTATTGATTGAACATTTTCAATTCCATTTTCTGATCAATGTTTTTGTAACTGTGCTGCCCTTGATAGATTATTTGATCAGCTCTAACATTAGCGCACGTGTGAAATACTTTGTAAAAGGACAACTGCATTTGGCGAGATGTCACTCGTGTTGCGCAACACTCACCATGAGGCCCAGAGGACACGAGTGGATGTTGGCGTGGTACACGCAACAGTTGAGTTCATTGGCATTGTTCCAGTTGGATGGGCACTCGTGATCATCACAGAACCGCTTCGCCTCTGCAGCGTCACTAGATGCAAAAGGGAGTATGGATACGAGTCGTGTCAATCATTGGGCTACCGTTCTTTTTAACTATAATCTTACAACACCAACCAGGAATTATTACGAACCCTCAAAACGAAAACAAATGCAATGTGGATTAACAGGATTGCTTTTTTTCTTTTTCCTGGTCACCTCTTGCTGAATATTTGTAGATGGCACAGTGAGCATATAAACTGGTTTATCTTGATTTCCATGCCAGTGCCAGTGCAAACCTCATTTTGTGTGTTTGGGAATTTGGCAGACCCCTCTAACCCTTGGTGGGCAGTCTGGCGTAAGAAGGGCCTTTACTTTGACATCTGCCAAGCACACCTGACATTCTGGTGACTGGAAATCGGCTAAACCTGACACCTGCTGGAAGCACGTCCAACTACTGGTGCGGGTAGTGTAACACGATGTCAGTGAATTTGATCAAGGTGCAGAAATACAGATTCTGTGCTCTGTGGACATTTGTCATGGATGTAGACAGTAGCATTCAAGGAACCTTCTGAATCTTTGCAGAAATCAATTTATATTATTTTTTAAAATTATATTTATATTTAATTTACAGAAAGCACTATTACCAACATCCCAGCTGTCTTCGGGCAGTAGGCGAGGAACACCCTGAACCGGGTGCCAGCCAATCGCAGGGCACACAGAAACGAACAAGCATTTGCGCTCACACTCACACCGAGGGACAATTTGGAGTGTTCAATCAGCCTGAGTTGCATGTTTTTGGAATGTGGGAGGAAACCGGAGGACCAGGAGAAAACCCACGCAGGCCCGTGGAGAACGTGCAAAGTCCACACGGGAAGGCCGGAGCTGGAATTGAATCCGGCGGGTACCTCTGCATTGTGTAGTCGAGGTGCTAACCACTCGACTACGGGGCCACTTCTTTTTACACTTATCATAATATTAATAAGTATGACCTGCCATGGCAATCACTTTCAACTTACACCAAAGTTATTTTGGTTAATTTAAGTTCCTTTACTTACAATAAATCCTTTAAGAAGAGCCCCAAATCCATGAGCTTAGCGATGTGCATTTGCGCGTGTGTGCATGCATGCATGCATGTGAACAATCAGGGCACGGCAGACATTCAAGATTCCGGATGTTTATGAAACTCACTCACCTGAACTGGAAAATCTTGTTACGGACAGCGTAGTCGTAGAAGGAATCTGAGGCCGTGACGGTGTATGAAACATTGAATTCCTCCCCGTTGGTGACTTTCTCCGGGGGGCGCTGCACCCAAGCCATCTCCAGACCTGAGCCGACAACAACACATATGCGTGTGACAAATACCCCCCCGCCCCCCCATTTACATTTCGTGAAGCCTCTTCACTGAATTCAAATTCTTTCTATAGTGTGCAGCTTTGCACTTGTAACCCTTCTCAGATGCTATTTTCGGAGGAACTCTGCACCCAAGTCGATGTGTGAACCACATGCAGTACTAAGGATGATGTACAAGAGTTTCATGGGTGGAGGTGTCATAACAGTTTTTATTTATTTATTTATTTTTATTTTTTTATAAAGTTGGTACACCGCTTCCGCAGATGTAAAGACATAATTACAGTAAATATTTGAATGAATATATAAGCATATACGGTATATGAATTCTGCTTAGCAACAAGTGTTGTTCATGTAGTTGAATAAAATGAAAGAGTAGAATGACAAAATACATTTTTAAAGCAAGCAAAGCAAACAGAAAAGCCAAAATGTGAAAAAAAATGTTTTGGGGGGGAAAAATACATTTTTTAGGTACTTTCTATTGTTGATGTTGCAGTAGCCTGTTAAGAATGTCATTTTTTCATTTTACCAGCAAGACATTAAAAGGTAACGTGTTAAAACCGCAAATGAGGATTATTCTCGATCAAAACTCTATTTCTAACCGGTACAAACGGAGCCACCTGTCGTACAATAACTACAGTTGCACCCAAAATTATTTACAAAGGTTAAAAAAAAAAGCTCACCACACCATATAAGTGGCAAATACTTTCAAAAGAAAATGCACATTCAGCAAATTATTTAAAGTGAGCTTTGAAACATTTTGAGTGCAACTGGACGTCACTGTCACAAAACACCAAACAAACAAAAACGGGTGATTAATAACACATACCACCACAGCTTATCATGTTGTAATCATTTGGATTGTTGCTGGGCCAGCAGTCATACTCCGTGTTGTCCAGATCATGCCAACAATGAACACCCTGCACAAATAATTTTATACAAGGGTATATATGTGTTTCAGCAGGAGACAGCAAGACATTATTATGCATTTTTATTGCCCGTCAGAGGGCAAGGAACCATATTTGGTTATTTAAATAAAAATGGAGGTAAGGTAATAGAACCATGGGAGGCAATGTTCCACACAACTCATTCAGTTCAGGGTCCCCCGAGGAGCTGAAGTTTATCCTTGCAGACATTGGTCAAAAGGCAGTTTACACCTTGGACTGATCTCCAGTCAATCATGGGCTACATGACAGAGACAGTCCTCCATTCACACTGTCACGAGTCGGCGTTCAACCCAGGTTGCATGCTCAAATGTATTTATTCCCCCCCTTAAAAGTTCATCACACCAAAGTCACCAAGAGTGAACTCGATGAATGACCTGCACACTGCAAACACACTGTTCCTATGAAATCATATTACACGAACAAGCTTGCTCTAATTTCACACAACAGCTAACATCTCATTTATTTTTTTCCATGTATATTTCCTCTACTAAACATTATTAAAATAGCTGAGACCACAAATCCTGCAGAGTGACGACTCACCAAAGAGAAGGTCAGGAAGAAGGATGCTGCTGTCCACAGAGCCATGACCAAGTCTGCAATCTCTATAGCTGACTGAAGGGAGTGATCTCACATGCGTCAGGGTCATGTGGTCGGGTCAAACAGGGGAGGCTCCTGTCACTGACATCTCCACCCACCTGGCAGGGGGGGCCACCATCTTTTCCAAGATAGAAGTGGTGCGCAGTGACCATCAGGTACTGGTCCAGCCGCAAGATGTGCCTAAGACAGTGGTCAACTCACACTCCCTTTTGAGTTGCAGAAAGCACCCGGGTCTCTTACTTGCCACCTGGCACTCCCAATGGCAGCATCAAATTGAGCTTTTTAAAATTCTTTTTTCACGAAGCTTTCTCAGGTGTAGGGTTCACCTATTTCTACAAAAATTGGGATGCATATGCAACAGACCATCAACTACAAAAAAAATGCATTATGGAGTTCTATGCTAAACTGAAAAAGTATGAGCTAAACTATTTTGGATGATTTATTTTATATTCAAGTGTCTCATCAGTCATTAAACTCCCCACACGTCACTAGTGGACGGGCATGACCTTCTCCACCCGCACCCACTCCTTGCATGTCCCCATTTATCCAATCAGACCAAGTGGCTCCCCAATCAGTATTCGGTCAGCAACGAGTTATGAAGTGTGTGTGTGTGTGTGTGTGTGTGTGTGTGTGTGTGTATAAGTGACTTCAATTGATTTGTCAATATTAATCAGCTTTAATCAGAACTAACATCATATTTATCTCTGGTAAACATGATTACAAGTCCATTTTTAATATGGGGTCTTTTTTTTTAAACACTGCCGAAGGAGGTTTATTTAATTCACTTCTAATTAATAGCAAATTAAGGTAGCACAACAGTTTAGAGAACGGGACAGGGGTGCCTTTTTTCCTACAGGGACCATTTGTATAACTTCCTCTGAGCACCATAACGATTAAAAAAAATGATGCTACTACTAATTGTTCATCATCAGAAATTATGGTTATTGTAGGTTGCGTTTTTCGGCTGCGCAGTGCCCTAGTGGTTGACATGTCTGCCTAACAGTAGAGGTCGAACATCAACATGAAGATCCATCATCTGAGATTTATTTATGTCCCTTTTTTCCCCCCATTTTTGACCCATTTCTTTTTTTAGTGTGAGATTAAAAGCAAACGGAAACACAGTGTCCCAGAAAATAGGCAAAATTCATTTCCCCCCTTCAGAGAATGCATGATTACAGGACAGCGGTAATATAAAGGCCTGCCATCACACACTTTGAAGTGTAGATGCCTCTGGCTTGGCAAAAATGCGAATGGCAGCGAACAGCGATGCTGGAAGCTGAGGATGAACAATCCTCACTCTTTTCAAGAACCGTCTTGTGAATGGAAACCACTTCACTTTCATGAGGTCTGAATTGAAAGCTGACTTTTTAACTAGTCAACTATGCAATCGCCCTTTCCAGCTGGTCCTCAAGGATGCATGTTCAGTTTAGAGGTTTAAAACAAAAGCGGTTTATATTATTTTATGGCCAGTTATCTCTTACAAGCACTTTGCAAGGAAAAACTAAAAGTTCAGAGAATACGTTTACAGATTTGGGGCACTTTGTTTAAACTGACATTCAATTTGGAGGCAGTTCAGTTAGTGTTGCTCCCTCTCAAGAGCTTATGGACCCACAGAGTGGAAGCAGAAGGTCACACAAAATTGACTGAGCACTCCAATAGATCAAGTGGCGGCGAGTGAGTGTAGGATCTCTCAAGGAGTGGAGGTTTATTGAAAAAAAAGAGATAGTGGCGGGGAATCGATTGTTCTAAATATCAATGCATTTTTGTTAAGTAACTCTGATTTGTCTCTTCTAGTTGTTTGGATGTTTGAGCACAACAGCGATTTTGGGAAAGGCGTGACAACGATTGCGTTTTGGCGTGCTCAAGGTTAAACCTTTCTACTGTCCTGTTTATCTTTTCGTGATCCCACCATTAAACAATGGTCCCCCACGTATATTGTTTCAAGGTTACAAAGGGCGCAAGAATGTGTCGTCATGCAGCACAAGAAGTCACGCTCAGGTACTTAAGGTGATTTTATATTTGTCTTTTATAAAACTCAAATCTCCAATATCAATTTCTCGAAAGACTCATGCATTCTGTGTGATGCACAATACATGAACAAGTAGACACAAAACACAAAATAGCGACAGTGAGGAAGATTGAACCGTCAGAGTCAGCGTCCGCAGGCTGAAGGCGCGTTTGTCAGTTATTTATAGCACAAGCGTCTGGGAAGGAGCGATGCAGCCTACGTCAGTCATATCCTCCTAACTTCCTGCAGGTAAACTATTGTGTGACGGACCTCCAGCAGGAATCCAGTGTGTTACGACATTTTTTTTTTTCCTCTTTGCAAGCCTCTTGCCTTTGTTTCAGCAGAGCAGCAGCAGCCATTAAAAGTAGCTGCAGCGGATGTGGGGAAATGCTACAGGGAAAACCAGTTTGCCTCAATCAGCAGCGCTAAGTTTGAGTGACTATTATCTTTATCCGCAGGCAGAGACTGCAAATGGACAAAAAAAAACAAGCTATCATCCAAACACTTGAAATTAATCCCCGAGACCCCCCCATCTTCGACACTCTTTGGGGAAAATACGACACTAGATTTGGTGCACTTGCGAAATCGAGCCAGATCTAAATATCCAAAGGTTTGCCTTTGCAAAGACAACAAATGTGTGGTTGGCGTTGACAGAGGTAATCATTTTAAAATGTGGACTTTTGTAAAGAAGTTTGTAGCTTGCCATCATCGCAGTAAAGCAGTGCGGCTCTGCAGGTGAACATATCGCAAGTGTACCTAATGTAGTGTCCAGAGAGTATGCATACATTACTTCTGTTTGCATATTGTTCAATTGGTTGCAGTATGTAATGTAAAAATGGCCGTTTGCAAAACTACAGTACTGTTAAGAAAATTGTCCTTAAATTGTCCTTAAAATGACGTACTCCGCACAATATCATGCTACCTCATATTGACCGAATAGACACAAACAAGACCGTAGCATCACCCTTGGTATGGTATATTATATACTTTTTGGGATATAAAACCGAAAAAAATTTACACCAAGGTGTCCTTGCTGTTTCTTTTCAGCCATAAATAACAACCAAAAAAGACTGCTTCCTCCATTTAGAGATCGTTTCCAAAATGATGAAATTCCGACGAGCGAAAACAAATGTATCATGTTGCTATGGCAACAGGATGTTTTGAGTGTTGTGTCTTCTCAGCGCCACAAAAACTCTGGCTTTTAACTGACACGGTGAGCCTGTGCTGATACTCCTCTCCAGACCAAATTTTCTTTGAAGATAAAGAACTGTTGACTCCAGTCTACGCATTATCTTCATGAAGGATTTCCATCTTAGAGTGAGCAGGCATTCCTCAAAGTTCAGAACAAATCCCACTCTCAGGTCTGGAAGATATCCTGGTCGGTGGTTTTTGTCTCTTCGGACGGAGGCGGGCTGTTGCCCGTGTCCTGGGTGGAGTTTAGCGGCCGGGTATTGGCTCGCGTTGAGCGCTGCCGCCGTGTCCCGTTGCCTATGCATCGCATGAGGTTCTTGAAGGTGGTCCACATTTCCTCGTCCTTATAGGAGTAAATGCACGGGTTCATGACAGAGTTTAGCACGGCCAGGAGAAGAAGCCAACGCTTGAGTTTCATGACGTTGCAGCTGGTGCAGTTGAGACCGTCCAGCAGCAGAACCACCAGGCCAGGAGTCCAGCAGATCACAAAGGCTCCTACAAAAACAATAAATGGATTAAGCAAACACCACAGTCTTTGGTGTGGGTTTTCAGATCAGCCTGCAGTCGAATACTTCCTTTGCTAAGCAAGCAGGTGGTTTGTTTGTTATCTCGTAATTCAGGAACAGGCAGTTCACCATTCAACCTCTTATTTTACCCCGACGACGACAGTGAGCACCTTCTCTAAGCTTTTAAACAACGCTGACATCAATTTGACAGAGATTTAATTTTCCATATAGTTGAGATTGATTCCAAAAATATTTGTCTCATCAAAAAGATTTTGATGCAAGGACTTCAATTCAAAACTGTCCGCCAAAATCTAATCCCTTTGACTGTGATGATTCCGAGAGCTGTTAGTCTGGTCAATTCATTGTGGATATAAACAAATGACATGCACATTCAAGTAAGGCTACAAAAATTAAATCAAAAACTGAAATACATTCAAAACAATCAATGTTAGGGCAACACGATGGCCAAATGATTAGCACGTCGGCCTCACAGTGCAGAGGTGCACGGTTCGATTCCGGCTTTGGCCTTCCTGTGTGGAATTTGCATGTTCTCCCTGTGCCTGCGTGGGTTTTCACCGGGTACTCCGGTCTCCTCCCGCATTCCAAAAACATGCATGGCAGGTTAATGGAACACTCTAAATTGTCCCAATGTGTGATTACGAGTGCGAATGGTTGTTCGTCTCTGTGTGCACTGCGATTGGCTGGCAAACCAGTTCGAGGTGTATCCCGCCTACTGCCCGAAGACAGCTGGAATAGGCACCAGCGTGCCCGCGACCCTCCCTTGACCATTTTTCCACACAGACTGAGGTTACCGCAGTTGCAAGTACCACTCCATGTGGAAATATGTTGGCACAATAGTGGTGAGGAAAGAGTTCATTCATGATAGCTCTGTCCAACTGGGACGATAAAGTGCCATGCATACCATAATAGAACATTTATGATCGTCAACACTAGGTAACGTATCAACAGTATGATAGCCAGTTGAGTAATGTAATCAGCCAACTCTACACTCTCGTTTCCCGACACCAGGCCAAGCCATGTATTTTAAAGCCATACATACTCTGTATCATGTATGTCAGAAGAAGTTGTTACATGAGTTGCAGCCCGACATTCGAGCAATGCATCCTCCAAATTATATTACGTTCAAGTAAAGATAAATTCAGAAGTGCAACAACTTTTTTTTTTTTTTTAGATGAAGAAAAAAGTTGGTGAAGCAGACACTGTTCCACATTTTCTAAGCGGGATAAATGCACCGAAAAACCGGGCGCAATTCAAGTAATTGTAAATGAGCACTGCTTGAATCTGCTACTCTTTGGCTAAAACGAGAACAAAATAGAGTCCATTCATGTTTATATATAGAGAAAAGCATCAAGCGCAACCAAGTTTAACTTTAAATGTTTCACTTTTTGGAACGATAACTACAAAGTCCACCTTAGCGCTGCGCGATGTGTTTTGAAGCCAAAGCACTATTAAAAGGCTCAA